GCATGCTTGGCGCGCAATTCAAATGCTTGTGACAGTTTACAAGGGTTTAGTAGAATATTAAAAATATGAAAATAAATGTAATGAATATATAACATTTCACTAAATGTGTAATTCTATTAATGCTTCGATTCGTTAATCTGTTTGTATATAAATGCGAGGGGACTACCCCTTCTGGGCGGGGGAGGGGACCATTTCCTTTGCAGCTGCTGCTGCTGCTGCTGTTGATTTGACTGCAAGGCAGCAAAATAATCAAATAAATTAAATAAACGCGTCGACCATATTAATGTTGGGCACATTGCACGTTTGCACAGCGCAAATTATTGCGCATAACTGTAAATTGAGTGGCGGGCAGCAGCGGGACATTTCTGGGACAAAACCTTTTCCCAGCCAACTTCAAATTTACGTGCATTGTGCATGGCCGCCATTTTGTTGGCTGCGGGAGAGTGCGAGTGCGACTGCGAATGCGAGTACGATTGAGAGTGCGAGTGCGAGTGAGCTAGCACACTTGCAGCCGCAGCATCCCAATGCAAGTGCATGTGCATGCGAGAGAGTGTGTGTGTGTGTGTGTGTGCTGTCGTGGACCTCTGATTGGGTGCCGCAGCTTTGATTTCTTGATACACAAAATGAAACACGTTGCCTGCATTTTTCGCCGTTGTTGTTGTTGCCATCTTGGCAGCCAATTACCGTTGCGTGCCGCATACCACGGCACATTCCAGCAACAGCACAAATCATGCATATTATTGAAAGAAACTTTGGCACACACAAAAAACAGCAGCAGCAGCGGCAGTGATGTCGCTTTAGCTACTTTCCCGCCAAATGTGGCCTTTTTTTTTTTCAATTATAGCGCTTTAGCTACAAAAGTTTTTGCGCCTTTTGTTTGCTTAAGATCCAATTTTAAGTAATTTTATTTTATTTTAATTTAATTTAATTTTAGTTTAAGTGCAGTTTTGGCCTATTTTAGCTGCTTTTTAATTGCACTAAATTAATTATTTTAAGTTTTGACTTTTTTTTTGCTCAATTTCGAAAGGTTTTTTTGTTTTCTTTTTGAGTAATTTAAGAATAAGTTATTTAAAGTTTTGGTTAATACTTAAAATTGTTTTTGCTCTTTTCAATTTTACAAAATAAAATTCTTTTGTTTTTAAGTGAATTATATGTATTATTTATGTAATAATAATATTAGCCTTTTTTTTAACAAATAAAATACACAAATAATCAAAATATTTGAAGTTTTTTTTTGTTTTTATCACACTTTTCACACTAGAACTAGCACTTTGTGTTGTTTCTCAACACTAAGCAGCAGCTGGTTATTGATTGAAAATATGTTTGTGTGCACACACTCACACACACACACACACACACACACACACACGCAAGCATGCACACACAAAAGTTGAACGCATGAATTAATTAAAAATTCCGTTGGTGCCCGCTACGCGAAAGTGGTTAGCATAAGCAAACGGCGATAAAGCAACAACAGCAACAACAAAGACAACAACTACAATAAAAAAAAAAATTCGAATGTTGCCCGCCGCCAGCTTTGTTTTTATTTATGACATTATTAATGAAAGTTCTTTAATTATGTTTAAGTTTGTTTTGTTTCCATTTTTGCTACTTTTAACATTTTAAGTAGGCAAGATTTTGGAGTTTTACAACACTGTGCATTGATCGCGCATGCAAATGCCGTTAGCTGCATCTGTGCTTCTTCTTGCCTCTGCCCTAATCTATTTACGGGAAATGGATTCTTCGGTAACTTCGGTGCTTATTGTCCGATCCGAAGTACAACTAAGATAAATGACCTCTTTCCACTATGCTACAAATGTGTTACATTCGGCGATTCCATTAGCAATGCTGATATAGCTGATCAATAATTCGATAACTAATCGCAAAAAGCACGAACAACATTTTTTGAATATGTGAAAAATGTTGTTCCTTTGGGGAACCGTCAACATATTTCACATTCGCAAAATATGCCAGGAATGTTGACAGTGAAATTAGGCTAAAGAATATAGAAAACGTACAGCCAACATATTTCACATTCGCAAAATATGTCAGAAATGTTGACAGTGGAATTGGGCCATAAATGATTGAAGAATATGTCAGAAATGTTGTCAGTAGAATTTGGCTATAAAATGACCATTGGAGAGTATGGAAAATCTACAGCCAACATATTTCACATTCGCAAAATATGTCGGGAATGTTGACAGTGGAATTTGGCTATAAAAAGAGGCTAGAACGATACGGCTGCTGATCGGAAATATATATTTTATATACTTTATGAGATCTGACTGTAACAAAATGCTCGATGCCCATTGGCAATGGGTGCAGGGTATGCAGGAAAATGGCCAAATTGGCAGCACTGAAAAAGAGATACGATCGTCCGCAATTGACGGGAGCTGTTGCTGCTGCTGCTTCTTCTTCTTGTCGTTTATTTGTTGCATGTCTGCACGCGCTTGAAGGAATCGTGGGAAGGAGGAAGGGGGGTGGGGGGGGAGGGGTGCGGGAGCCTCTTGAATGACGATCACGGCGACACCTTCTCCATACCAAATCAGTTGGAGGCCAATAGAAGCTGCTGCTGCTGCTGCTGCTGCCTCTTCCTCTTGTTGCTGCTGCCTCTTCTTCTTCTTGTTGTTGTCACTTCTTCTTCAAGATGTTTGTAATTTAATGGCCCTCTTTATATTTGTTACATTATTATTATTCAAGTGTTGCCCAGCTGCCGCAACATTTCTCTCTGTCAATTGATCTTTTGTTCAGTTTTCTTGATAAACAACACACAAGCCCTGCCACACCTGCCGCACCTGCCAGCCCCCCTTCCGCCACTTAACCATCCGCTTCTCTAGTTAGCCCGCCCACCTGCATCCCGCTGGCCCAGAGACGCCTCCAGCTATTCTCGCCAACCGAAGGCTACTGCGTGGAAATTTATGATATGTGCTTAGCATGCAAAAAGAGTGGACAACAAATGGACACAGTCAAGGGGGAGAGGGCATCACAGTTGTATGTTTCAACTGGGCGGGGCGGCAACCCGCCTCTTGGCCCGATTTTATGCTTCTATTTTTGGGAGCCTTTGTTAATCCCACCCAAAACAAAAAAAGAAAAAAAAAAAAACAAATTAATAGAAGAAATATGTTTTTGTGCCGATAAATTGATTGTTTTGTCGCTTTTCGGACAGTTCGTGTAGAAATCTTCGATATTGAAATTAATTTTCTGTCATAGGTCAAATTCGCTTTCTTTCTTCTGCTTTTTTTTCTCTGCCCCACCCAGGGCCGGATCGTGCGGCGTCTGAGCGCCCAATGTGGGGCGCGACAATTATTTGGTAGTCAATGTGAAAGAAAGGCAAAAATTGTTTAAAGTGAGACATGTGAAAAATATGCATATATCGTATGGTCGACTTGTAGATACCCTGCACACGTGCTCCAAGAATCAAAGCTGAACATCGATATTTATCGATTGTGGGAAGTAGGAAAGTTATCGATTATGGGCTACTTGTTCAGCTTACGCTGAGGACTGCGAGAAATTATACGAATTAAAAAGAGGCTACAAATCGATATTTATCGATTGTGAGATATCGGAAGTTTATCGAAATGAAGCACGTGCTCTGAACTTTGTAGGGAATGCGAGAAATTACGAAAGTCGAAATAAAGAGAGGCTAAGCATCGATATTTATCGATTGTAGGAAATCGGAAATTTATCGAAATAATTTATTTCTTCTGCATTTGACAGGGGTTATGGGTCTTTGCGCTCTTTTCATTTCTGAGCTATGCGAAATAAATCGCGACTGAAAATCAATAATTATCGATTTTGGCAAGTTTTAAAGTTATCGAAATTATCTACATGTGTTACCTATATTATTTATTATTTCTGGGAAATGAGAACAACTTTTTTGTCTTGATTGCAGCTCCAAAGAGGCTCTGCTCAAAAACAGATAACTAACTATTTAGGCGCCCAAATTGGGGCGCTCGCTAGTCAGCCGGCCGCTTAGTCCGGCCGTTTAGCACGGCGCAGCAAATTTTATCATTAATTTATGAACTTTCGATGCTGGGCAAAATGATTTCTCAGCGGTGATATTCATACCCTGCAACCTTCGCAAGTGGCTAAAATGGGGTATATTGGTTTCGTGCAAAGGTATGTAACAGGCAAATGGATTTGTCTACGAGAGAAGGCTTCGCTTACAGAGACTTTAAGAGAACAGACCCAAGTCAAGTTTGTCTCATAAAATCGATAAATTCGGCTTCTAAGAAAACGATAGAAATCGATTTTCAAATTAGATCGATAAAAATCTTTTATCATGTGCGATTTGTAAAGAGATCAATGCTGATCGATCAATAAAAATCGATTTTTCTTAAGATAGCGATAAATATCGATTTTCGAATTAGATTTTCTGGGCAGATAGATAGATTAGATGATGGTGATGTATACCCTGTATACCCTTTGTGTTACCATCTTCAAGCCTTGATTGTTTGTTAAATGATCGGACTCTGAATACCGAAGCTCATCAGAAAGGCATTTCCAGTAAATTGGGAGACCCTCGAATGCTTGCGTTTGCAGTTGGCAGGGTATCTGCTAGTCGCGCATTGCCCATCATTCTGACCCGTTTCCATTATTTTGGCCAATATGTTACAGGTCGCTCGGTGATCGTTTTCGCCAGCGGGGGCCCTTTGACTAAAAACTTTCTTCTTCCGCCTGATTTGTCTAGCTTCGACGCGGGGTTATTAGTTGACCATTGACCCCGGGCCCGGGTCCGGGTCTGGTGCGGGCCGAAAGTTGGCGAAAACGGGTTCTGGGAAAGAAAGCAATTTATGAATAGGCCAAACAGATTCTAAAGGTATGAGGAGGGGGGGGGGGGGGGAGAGGGGGAGAGGGGAGACTGATGAATAATTCAGAGCGCAAATCGAAGCTCGAAGATCGCGCCGCGGGTCAATCGAAAATGGAAGCGCGCCGTCAAGCTAATATAAGGCGCAGCCGGCGCTGGGAGCCCAGTTTAGTCGCATTCAAATCCCGACAAGATGTGGAGCAAACGCTGCGTCTTGGCGCTGATCGCCAGCTGCGTCTTGTGGCTGGCCCTGGCCACCAGAGAGGCCGCCGGCGAGACAATGATCGAGGTGGACGAGCACGGGGACGAGTACGAGCTGAAGCGCTTTCACATCCAGGGCCGGCAGCTGAACGGGAATGGCAGCAAGTCGCAGTGCGTGGTGACCAGGCGGAAGCGGGCCAGCGGTCGCTCCTTGGCGCTGGCCGGGCCCAGCGTCTCGGTTAGCTCACAGCAGCTCAGTCTGAGCGCGGTGCCGGCGGGCGTAGAGCATCGGGAGGCGGTGCTGCAGCTGGAGCAGGAGCCGGGCAGCAAGCGTCGTTATGTGGCACTGGCCGCGGTTCAGCTGGAGGAGGATGACGAGGACGATGATGAGGAGGAGGAGGATGATGAGGAGGCGGAGGAGGAGTCAGAGCACGACGAGACGCAGCAGCAGGAACAGCTGGCTAACGATGATGAGCAGGAGCAGCCGGAGCAAGTGCAGCTGCAGGTGCAGGTGCAGGAGCAGCCGATGGCCGTCACCCAGCAGCAGCAGCAGCAGCAGCAGCAGCAGAAACAGTTCTCCGGGCAGAACTCCAGCCCCTTTGTGGGCGCCACCTTTGCCCAGGCTGTGCCCGGCGGCGTCAGCGTGGTGGCCAATGCGGCCACCCACGCCAATGTGGGCGGGGACGCGGGCATCGTTGTGGTCGAATCCCAACAGCCGCCCAAGGTGAATCCCAACACGCACGCCGTCTTCGAGCTGAAGCCGCTGTCGCCGCTGAAGCAAACGGACTTTGTCTACTACGGGGAGGATCTGGATCTGGACGAGGACGAGGATGAGGATGGCGGCGACGATGGCTTCTACTATCAGGGCGTTGGCCTCTACGATGAGTACGAACACTTCGTTACCGAGGACAGCCCGGTCAGCACCTCGGCCATTTGGAGCACGGGCGGCGACGATGACGGCGATATTCATCCCGTTATCAATGAGCCCAATCAGCGGCCGGTGGAGAGCAAGAAGAAGAAGAAGAAGCAGCAGCAGCAGCAGGTGAAGCGCAGAAAGAGCGGGCAGAAGAGAAAACAGCAGGAGAAGGAGAAGGAGAAGGAGAAGAAGAAGCGACGACCAGCAGAGCAGACGCTGGCAGAGCTGGAGCAGCAGCAGAACAAGAAGAAGCAGCAGCAGCAGCAGAGCGTCAGCAGCGCTGCCGACAAGCCAAAGCCTACCAAGAAGAAGCCAGCCAGTAGCAGCAGCAGCTCCTCCTCCTCCTCCTCCTCCTCGCCCACCAAGCGCCGCAAGACCAAGCCCAGCCAGAAGAAAAAGAAGAAGAGCAGACCGAGCAGCTCCGTCAACAAGCGCCGACGCCCCAGCAGCAGCAGCAGCAGCAGCGGCAGCAGCGTCTACAGCTACAGCGATGCCATGGGCGGCTATAGACGTCGTCGGCCGCAGCAGACGACGGAGGCGCAGCGCCGCCGTCGGCTGCAGCAGAAGCGTCGTCGCCAGCAACTGCAGCGCCGTCGACGTCGCCGCAACAAGATACGCAACCAGAATATTAACGGCGTCGGCGTCGGCGTCGGCTATCGTCGTGAATACTTCGGCGACGAGCCGATCGTCAATTGCATTTACATCAACAAGGATCCGCCGACAACGACGACGACGACGACGCCGCGTCCCTTCTGGAATCTGCTGGGACGCGGCGCGCAGCCGCAGAACGCCGACGCGGAGCAGACGCTGCGTCGCCGCAGTGGCGAATTCGGGCAGCGCAAGCGCACAAATCTCAAGTTTGTGGCCTAAATCGAGGCGAATATTAAATTAATCTAATAACAATTTTTTTTCTTTTTTTTTTTTGTTTGCTTAGTTCCGTACTTATTTATTTAAACATATTTTTAATAAAATGTAATCGCTCCATTTAATTTGATCGATTTGTCTCATCGATTATTTGCTGCGCAAATACTCATCTAAAATGTGCGACAACTGCGCTGCCCCGCCCCCCTACGCCTTGTCTAACTGTAACTTGTATGCGCTGTTCGCCGTGTGACGTGGCCAGCCCAAGGCTACAAGTGGATGGGCTGGGGCAGGGGGAGAGGGTGTGTGTGGTCACAACAAAACAGACAGCAGCAAAGCCGAGGGCAGAGCAGAGGCGTTCGTGTAAGCGAGAGCAAGATAGCGACTAGCCAAAGTAAAGCTAGTTTATGATTTCCGTCGTCAGATGGCGCCAGCGAAGCGCAATTTAAAATGTCAACGATGGAAACATTTGCTGCCTGACGCTGCGCAATTTCCGCAGACGCCCCCTACCGGACACCCCAGCACAGCACAGCGCAAGAGTCCGCACAGTGTCTAAGAAAAGTATGCTGTCGCCAGAAAAGTATTTAATATATGCACATAAGCGAAAATTGATTTGCATATTTGAATGTTTTTGTTGTTCGGTTCGTTTTAAGAAACCTATTTTTGACTTCTATTGCATACTTTGCAGGTTGCTCGTAAAAGATTAGAATATACCAACTCGCTGACAAATACTTTTATGCCTGACTGTGTGTGTGTGTGTGTGTGTGTGTGTGTTTGTGGCTGGAATCGATCGATATGCGGTGTCCAGCAGCAGCAGCAGCAGCAGCAGCAGCCAGGCAGCTGCTGTACATTTCGTGCACTTTTGCGGTTGGCAAAAAAGTATCTGCTGTAGATACACAACGCACACACACACACACACACACACACACATACACCCACGCATGCACACACACACACACGCATATACACCCCGCGCATTGTTGGGCGCGTTTAGTTTGGCTTCCGCCCATTTCAGTTCATTTTGTTTTTGTTGTTGTTTGATGAATAAATAAAAAGCGTGCGGGCACAGGACACAAAAGAGCAGAGCACAAAGCATGAGCGTCGGCTAGGGGGAGGGGGATTGGGGGGCGGGGTAGGTGTGGGGAAGGCAACGACAGCTCAACTGAAAAGCCACAAAAAAAAAAAAAAATAGAACACACTGAAATGGAATTTAACGTAGGGACCTTAGCTGGGAGTGTGTGTGTGGGTGTGTGTGTGAGGGGGGGGGGGGGGGGGTGGTGGTGTTTTCAATTGTATCACGTTTGCAGCGGTGGTTTTTTGAAGTGGGTGTGCGGAGAGGGGCAGGTGGGGGAGTTAGTTGTGACTATCAATTTTTTGTTGTTAGCAAATGCTAGAATTCTTGGCAGCTGAATTATGTTTGAGGGAGCGATGGGAAGGAGAAGAATTGGTTGCAAATCATCGATAACAATTCGCGAAATCGATTAAAATCGATTAAATTCTGTTATTTTTTGACTATTTGACTAATCAATTTCAAATAAAGTATCGATACCTAAAGTGTAAAGCGATGCTTATTATTTATATTTTCATCGATATTTCAATTCTGTTCAATCTCAAAGTTTATGAAAGACACCAAATTTGGAGTGCAGGATATGTAGAAGTGCAAGATATTCCACTTTCTGGATAACTCTATCCAGGATTATGCCACCTTTTAGATAAGTCACCCCCATTCTACTTAAAATCAAACATTTATTGCATTGACATTTAAATGTCATATTCAAGCTCGGAAAAGATCACACAGATCGGACTGTAAGTTCCGAAGTTAATCAAGAAAGCAGAAGAGAGTCTCTCTTCATAAGGATTCTACCTCTGTAAGCTAGGGATTTTCTCACGATATATATACATATAATATAATAATATACAAATATATTAATATAAATGTATATTTAGTTCATCATCTTCTTCGATTGGGTTATAGTTTTATGGTTTTATAGAGCATTGCGATAATATTTAATTATTCATCTCTTTCTCTGGAAATCGGACACCAAATGCGCGTCAATATGACAGAAATTGGTTTTGCTTTTTTTTTTTTTTTAAGGTTCACTTTGCCTTTCTCACGCTATGCGCTTACATAGCTTCAGGGCGGGGAGGAATATTGACTCTAGAGGGGGCGGGTGCGGGTGCGGGTTGGGGTTTAGTTATTGATATCGTGCGATGATTCGTTACTTTTCCGATTGGCACGCTTTTTAATAGCGTGTGCTGTTTCATTTTTTTTTTTTTTTTGTAAATATTTACAAAAGGAATTCTGGAAGTGGGCGAGTTTTTGCCTGCAAAGGCATAAGGGTAGATAGATTAGGGGAAAGGGGAAGGTGGAGGGAGCGGGTTGTGTTAATATTTAGCTTGAACTGCACTTCTGTAATTAATAATTGAACGAGGTCCTTGCACTGGACTACAAGTAGATGCCAGGGCAGAGGGCAGCAAGGGGAGAGGACGGGGCAGCTTGGAACTGATCGGCAGAATTGAGCTATCCGTTTGTCTATATAGTCAGAGAGTCGGAGAGTCTCATTGCATCGCAGCTGTGCCTGCTGGCCTGGGACTGGGCCTGGGCCTGGGCCTGAGTCCTCAATTTCTTTTCTTTTATATTGTTTATCAAATGAGAGATTCCCTGAAAGGCCGGGCCTGGCATCGATATTTATCGATTTTGTGAGAATTTTAAGTGCTATTTAGAAAATGACGTAAAAATGAGCTCAAATTTGAAGTAAAATATCTTAAATAGCTGTCATCGATATTTATCGATTTGCTGATAGATAATGAAATTTAATTGAATGTATATAATTTCTAAAATATTTGGGATATGCTCGATATGCCAGGGCTGCCATCGATATATATCGATATCTAGAGCTAGTCCAAAAACCTATCGAATTAATATTTACGCACAAACGTTATCGAATTGAGTTAACTTCTGCTGCGTGTCACAAGCGCTTGCTGGAAACGAGCATACCCGCGCTGTGACCCGACTGCAAAAGGGCACAGGGTATTCAGAGGAGTCGGCGATGCCGTCGCTTTCGGCACAGTCTGTTAGTTCCTACTGATTTATGGCAACGTATTGATTAAGCGTCGCGTCGCGTCGCGTCTGCCGATTTCTGCTCCTGCACCCCCGCGCACCCGTCCCGCCCGCGTTGAAGGTGTGAGGCGCAACCCTCGCCGCGAGTTTTTTAACGCCAGTTGCTGTCGACAGATTGGCCAAGGGTTTGCGCCAGGTCCTCGGCTGTCTTAGGGCAGATGTTTTTAGAAGGCTGCTCCTTTATTTTATCTCCCCTCACCATTCCCCTCTCTTCACCCCTGCTCTGCTCTGCTCTCGTGGACGCGCCTAGTTACGCAATGATTTCTGGTCCGGCAGAGGCGTGTGTGTGTGTGTGCCTGGGCCAGGTAAAGGCCAGAAAAAAAGGTGCGTCTATTTAGTCATAAGTGGATGCGTAATTGGGCAACTGTTGACGGCCGGGCAGGCGGAGCTGTGGCAGGGGCATTTGTTGGATTAGATTGTTTATGCGGCTCGTCAGGCGTTTAATGGGCCTGACCAATTCCGGCGAGGTGTGCATAATGCACATCACGCTTCAGCTGGGCATCCTTCGGGTCAGTCAACGGTCAAAATCTTGCAGACGGCTGTCAAACGATTGCCCAATACCCTGTTCGCTTTGCAACACAAGCTGCAAGCAGTTCTTCGCTGACTCTCAAACTGTTAGCCCCAAAGGCAGTGACTCTCAAACTGTAACAACGTTTTTGAATCGAAGAGGTTTGCATTCGAAATTCCAATTTGTTATTGGAGGCTGCTCTAGTCGAAGGACAAGAAGATATCCTTAGGAGATATCCTGCAAACATTCTAGCTTCTTTTTGATACACATATCTTGCTTCCTCTTCCCTTACCCTACAAACAATACATTCTTGCTTAACTGAGGCGTTTCTCGACCAATCCTCATGAAAATTTCTAGACTTTACTAAGACACACAAAACTCGTAGTATACCAAAGCTCAAGGCTCTAGCTTGAAGAATGCGTTTTTTACTGATTCCGGCATCGAATAAATGAAATCTTTCGCATATGCATATACCCCATATGAGAAGCTGCATGGCAAGCGTAGAGTATCAAGTCTCAAAATCGATATTTATCGATATTAGGATTATGAGAGATGATATCGATAAAAGGTATATGGAAGCACATGTATCTATTCTATATACTTTATGGGATCGAAGAAAGCAGAAAGGCTTTTGTTGATATCGAAATTGTCGGACAACTTAGCTTATCGATTGATCAAGAATATATATACTACTAGTGTGCATTGCCGATGGGAAATTGAAATGTACAAGGTTTGAGCCAGCGACTATTTTTTTGTTTGCTTTTGCAGAGCTGGTTAGGCAATTTGTTGGCGCGTTTCTTACATAATTGGGGAGAGTCTTTGCAGAAGCTTATCGCCAGCTAATCTACCCCATTTGCAGTCTGTGAAAGGGGTATGAAAACTTTTCAGCTGGACAGCTGCTGCGGCTGCGGCTGTGGCTGTGGCTTTGGCTGCGGCAATTGGATGCTGCAAGAAGAAGCTGCTCGAACTGAAAGCCAATTTAATAATAAAGCGGCAACACTCACATACACACACACACGAAGACAGCTCAGCTGGCTGTCCTTGGTAGCTGTAGATCCTGCCACGCGCTAAATTGTGGCTCCCCCTTGCCCAGTGGCAGGAAAGGAGGGGGGGGAGGGGCGCGAATGCAGCTTGCAGCCTGCGCCGCCTGCTGCAAATGCTGAACGGTAAACGGACAGCCTGGAACAGGTAAGTGGCAGGCGAACAGGTAAGCGGATGATGCCTGCAACATCATGTTGCATTCGCTCACAAGATGAATACAAATGAAGGGGCACGTGCCGCGTGTGTCTTGCTCGATTGTTCGATTGTTGTTGCAAGGATGCAAAAGGACTGCGGCTGCAACAGCCGAGAGGGTCCGCCAATGCACCTGTTCGGCCTATT